CTGCGCGTGTCGGCGGCGGGACGTGGGCTTCTCTGCTCCCGCCTGCCGGTCTCTGGCAGTCCTGCTGTCAGCCCCACGGGGACGTTTGCTCCCGGACACTTTTAACATCTGCCTTGTGGCTTCCCGCGGAGTCCGACTCGCTGCTTTGCAGTGCCCGGGACCTGGTTGATTGAGTCAGTATGGACAAATACCGCTTTGTCCGCGAGATGGCGCCCTAAAATCTCTGCGAGGATGGGATTACTCAAGCAAGAGAGAACGTGAATGTGGGGATTTTCACTTGCTTTGTTAAAAGAGACAGCGAAGCAACGAAATATCCATGAGCAGTGCTGTGTCTGCCTGGCTGGGGGCGGGGCGGGGTGAGTGTCAGGGGCCAGGGGAACGTTGTGTCCCGAACAGCTGGTGACACCGGGACGTGCCTGGCGTGTTGTCGAGAGCGGGGTCGCTCTGAGGTCGGGGTGCAGCGCTTGGCCGTGCTCTTCCTTGTGCGCGTGTTTTTATCCCATTCAGTTGTTTGCTGAATGTGTTTTGCAGCAGTGTCACGTGTAACGTAAGGATTCAAGGCTCATCCCAGCACTGGGCGCATTCAGGAGAGAGAGAGAGAGAGAGAGAGAGCAGTGTTTGGGTACCGCATCTTCCCTTGACGCTTGTGTATATAAATCTGTTTATTAAATCCAGCCAGGCTAGAAAGGTCGTGTTGCAAGTGTGGGTTGCTGTAACTGTCCAAGCCATGTTTAAAAGTGTTTTAAACACAGTTATGTAATGAGACCTAGAAGGGTTTTGTCTCCAGTTTGTAGAGGCCTTTAAAGTAAGAGAAGTCCTATGGTATGCAGATTAACTTTGGTTTATTTGTTTTGATTATTTGGTCCACTCCTTCCCTTTGTTGGAACCTAGAAGAGAGAGGTGATGTGGTAGATTAGGACACACCTTTGGTTCCTCCCTGGTTTGGGACCCAACCACAGCATGGTCACATCCAGAGCTATTACATTTTTTTGTTTCTTTTAGCACAGGGATAAGGCCATGCTTTTGTCATATTCTGGAACTGTAATAAAATCCTGCAAAATTCAAGACTCTGGTTAGGTTTAGAAGTATGGTAGAAGTAGAGCTTGTGGGGGGTTGTTTGGGGTTGTTTTGTTTGTTTTTTTTTGGGGGGGGGGGTTAATTTACACCACAAGAACATACCACACTCTTTAACCGTGTTAGGCACTGTTGTAATAACGGAGTTGTAACCCTGCCACACCAAGGAATTTCATTACGTAGACAATAACTTTTATTTGAACCTGTATATAACTAGTTAAATGAATTCAGATCTCTGGAAGGTGCCTTGGATTTCAGTTGAATCATTCTTTTGTTCTTTTAGCCCCTTCTATCCAAGGGCCATAAAGTACTTTACCAACATCACGTTATTATACTTTGTAATGCTTCTTTGGAGCCAAGTTTATATAAGGACTTCACAAATTACTGATGTGCTACCACTTCTACAGTGAATCACAACAGCTGTTTAACAGTACACAGCCATGCTGTACACGACTTTGGGAAAAGAATTTAGTATCGTGATAGAGCAGAAATAATTTAGGTAAAAAAGATGCACCTAATTCCAGGAATGGGAGATATTCCAAAGACACCCCAACCTGAACTCCAACTCTTTATGAAAACTGGCATGGCTTTTATGAACACAGGCAATCAGTTTGTTTTGTTTTATTTTTGGTACTGAAATATAGAAGTTCAAACTGCACAATTACTAGAGCGCTGTTTAGTATTGTTCAGATGGAAGAATGACACATGAAGAGTGACACCAGCTTAAAAGCAACTGCAGCTATGAAGTCCTTGAAAATTTCCAAGTACTGACCTGACCTTGCCCTCCAAAACTCAGTTAAATAGTATTTTACTGTCAAAACAGCCTGTGTTAAAGGACGTATGTATCCCCTACCTAGTTCATCTCATATGATAGATCACAGCTGACTCTAGGCTTTGAACAAGCCTTAAACCTTCTACAAACAAGATTGAAAAAATGATCTAAATTTATAGCTGCTTTCTGAATGTAGAGTTACTATGTATAGCTGAGCTGGTGGGTTTTTGCATCTGCTGCAGGACATGGAAGGACTCTTACTGGAGATTTGAGCTCTTGGATTTGATCTTCTCAATCCTCCAGTGGCTATGCAGGAAAATGAGAGGGTACAAGGATACAAAAATCAATCACAGGCCAGCAAAGATCTTTTTTTTTCAGTGTCTCAGTTGCTCTCCAGTAAATTTTTGTTTTCTTTTTCATGGGCTGTTAGGCTCTGACAGCAGTGGCATTCAGCACAGAGACAGTCATTGTGACATGAGTTAGTGAGGTGCAAGATCAGGGAAAGAATCAGCAATTAGGGGGTGTTTCCAGTAAAGCATGTCTTAAGGAAATATTCTGAGACATTTGAGACAGATTCGGTCCCTATTTCTGTTTTGGCTTCCTGCCTAGAACAATTAGTATTTTCATACAAATCCTGTAAATACATCAGGAGACAGTTTTATTAAAAATCCAGATGCCATTATTTCATTACTTTTCACTCGCATCTTGCCTTTTGGGAGAGATGATGCTATGATGCATTTAATAAGTTAAATAACTTATTAAGTTAAATAAACAAGCACTGGAAAAAGGAATTGAATTAGAAGTGAAATATGGACTAGGAGTCTACCTCCAGGCAGTGAAATGATATGAGAGTTTCTTAACTAAACAAATGGGAATGTTTCTGTTTTAAATGGCACTGGCAGGCTATAGCTGTAAGCAGAGCCCCACTTGGAACAAAGCTGCCATAAAGGTTATGGAATTGCTGTAAATATACTGGATTTATTTGACCAAAAAAATGGGGAAAGAAGCCAATCGGGGGCTTTTTCTTCGTTAAAGCTACTAAAGTTTATTGGCCGTGCTTAAGGGCCTCACTGCAGTATGCTGAGTGCATCCTATCAGAGTTGAATGCCCTCACCCCTGAATTTCTTGGAGTCTCAGAACAGCAGAGACTCCCTATGCCTGAAGAAGGATGACTGTGCCCGAAAGCTTGCCAAGAACTTTTTTCTAACTACTCGGTCTAATAAAAGATACCACATCTACTCAAAGAACCTTGCCTGCCTCAACCCCAAAGGCATTTGGAGCAGAGGATACTCAACACATAGCAGAGGGAACTAAGTACCTGGAAAATCACCCTTATGTATTTTGATTTCTGGCAAATAACATGTAACCTCCTATTGCTCTCTTGAATGCTTCTGTAGATAAATTATTGGTTATAAGGAGATTCAAATAACTGCCAAAGTCCAGGTCTTCCAGGACAAGCTTGCAGTTATGAAGCATATAATCTAGACTTTGTTTTTTTCCCATTTTCTTTCCTGACTGCACATAGGTGATATGTGTTTGGATGTTAGTCTTGTCTGATATTGCACTAATGCAAAAAATAAGAGAACCCAATAGTCATTTCTTCTCTTGAGCTCCTTCAGTTTGGTTCACAATAAAATGATAGTGAATAATGTGCTCTTAGCATGCAAGTAATATCATTGACAATAACAGGA